AATAGAAATCTAAATCTTTATCCTCTTTCCAGACATGAATGTAAAGTTAAAGTTCGAGATTGGTTATTGTCACTTGATTATAGTAAAACAGAAATTATAATTTGTAAAAATGTGTGTAAGTAATGTATGTCGTATAATAAATGTATAATAAAATTATAAAATTTTAAAATTATGAAATTAAAAATAACAATCTTTTTTAAAGCATCTATTTATTATTTATAGGTTATAGTGAATAAAATATACCTATATATTCTGTATGAAATTATATAATAATATATTTTCTATTTATATATATGTGTGTGTGTATGAGTGTATATATATGTATATATGTATGTATGTATGTATATACAGGGTATTTTTAGAACGCTCCCGAAAACTAAGATAGGCGACAGCACCAAGTATACCTTTGATCATGGGTCACAAATAAATTTGATCCTGATGAAAAAAAAATCATATTTTTACAACGTTTTATTAGCTTTATTCACGCGCCATCATGTTAGTACAGCTAAATGAATCGATAATTTCATAAAAAAAATCATGAAAATACTGAAACATAAAACCAGCAGTGGAAACTGAATTGATATCACCTGACTAATGGAGGTTAATGTACGCGCGAACGGTGAAAAAAGAACGCTGGCCTTGAACTTGGGCACTGAGCGATTTATCACATATAGGTACGAAGGGGCGCGACGGGGGAACAATCCGCCAGTACTACTGTGCCTGCATGCTATTGGTTCCCGCGCTTTGTTCGCTCCAAAAATACAGTCGCATACACAGCTTACTTTGCGACTCGCGACGATGTTTTAAAAAGGAAGGAAACAAAAATTATTTATATCTATTGTTTTATGACTAAACTAGTGAACGAAAAGGTAAATATGATAGGAGAAGGTGAATGGGGAAAATTGTGCAGTAAAGTGTTGAGGGAGAATACCGAAAAAATTACCATGTGATCGACCTGATGACGGAAGCTCAAGCGAAGATGAAAGTGATGATGAAGTAGCATCCAGTAACACCAACACACCATCAACATCTGACTTTCATGTGACCCAAGACGTCATAATGGAAGGCGTGTCACCCTTAGCTTAAGTTTTTTTTGTTACAAACTACTTTATATTTTACGATACAAATAACAAATAATGCTCAAGTAAACATTATCCATTTTTAATTCCCACCTCTTCCAAAGTTCTAAGTAAATAGTAAAACGCCTATTATGATTCTACAATTAAACAATTAATTACTATAATATTATAAAACAATAGCCCAATACCATGTAGTACTTTAGAACGCGACTGTCCCCACATTCTCTCCGCTGTCGACCTGTATCTAGCTCGGTACGAAACAATGCTGCGGTCGTAAGAAAAAAGGGCGCATCTAACAATTTTTGAATAAATGAGTTAAATATACCATGACTCATGATAAGAAGGCGCATCTACTAATTTTTTTTAATATTCACCAATATCAATATTTTAGAAATTATCGTAAGAATATTAGACGTAACTGTTGATCACATATGACATCTTTTTATTAGAAAAGACTTATACAAATTCAACATAAAAGAAAAGACTTATTTAACCAGTGGCTACGTCATCTTTAACAATATTTGCATCGATTACTTAAATTTCAATTATTCTTGTCTTTTTATTCTAAATCTTATTATTAAGAGCTTATATCTTATTACTAAGAGCTGGTGTTTCACATGTGGTCCCATATAAATTTGATCGAGGTCAGACCAATAGTTTTTGAGTCATCCTTAATTATTTATATTAAAGTCGGTTGTACAAAATTTTTAATTTTTAATTATTATCGTAGTAAGTCTTGTATGATATCCCCTTTAAAATCATTACTCAAGAGTTGCGGGTTGTTATTTTTTGTGTCTGACTACCAATGCTTTTCTAATATTTACTAAGAAAAAAGTAGTAAATTACTATTAGCGTCCTTTCAACTTCAAATGACCTTTTCAAAATATGTAAAAATGTTAAATGAATGGCAGTTTTTTTATTTATTAGGTTGGGAAGACGCAAATAGTTATATGCGTCTTTCCTTCGATGTTTTTGTGTTGCCAGGTGTATTTTTTAATCTAAGATGAAAAGGAAAATTCGTTTTATTTCAATAAATAAACAAATTATCAAAAAATAAGTTCGTCCTTAAAATCTTCATGTCTCTACGTACATATTTCAATTTTCATGTAGATACCTTTTAATATACTTTAGACACGGGGCCTGAAAGAAAAATTCATAAATTTATTTTTTATTTCCATTTTACGTTTTTGTTAATTGCGTCCTTCTTTATATTGACGGCAGAATGTAACCCGGCCGGCTCGTGTCGCCTCACGCTGTGACGCAGTAGGTTTCAGTTTATTCGTCGGGGTTCGTTATTAATTGTAGTTTTTGAAACAGTTCCGTGTTGATTTTTAACACGCGTGCGCGAGCGACAGCTCAATCGTTTTCTTTATTAAATTGTTAATACTTGTGATTACCTGTTGGTATTATTCTTGTTGTTACGTTTTTTGTTTTAATAATGCTTAACGCGTGCGTTTATAGTGATTATGAATACGGCAACATGTTAGGTATCCGAACCTAGTTACACGAAGTATCGCTAAATAAATTGTTAAGACGTCGGGATGGAACAAGTGTGTCATACTGTGCAGTGCACAAAGTGTTGAAGCGTAACCGAATGCGCCCATACAAATTGCACAAAGTGCAAGCTTTAGTTCCCGGCGATCACGACCGCCGACGAGTTTTCTGCCGTTGGTTATTATACCAGCAACAACGTGTGCCTGGTTCCATTGAGCACATTATCTGGACGGATGAGTCGACATTTACCAGAAACGGCCTGTGGAACCGAAGAAATACACACGTGTATTCAGAGGTTAACCCGCACGCTGTTCGACAAACCGGGCACCAAACCCGATGGTCGGTTAACGTATGGGCAGGTTTATTTAAGGATCGCATACTGGGACCAGTGTTTCTGCCAGAGCGACTGAACGGACAGCGATACCTAAACTTTATAAATGAACAGTTGGTTGACATTTTAAACGACCTATCGTTGGCTGAATATCGCCGCACATGGTTCCAACATGATGGTGCCCCTCCACATTTCGTGAGGTTCGTCCGTGAGCGCCTCAATGAGCTATTTGATGATCGCTGGATCGGCAGACTAGGACCACACGCTTGGCCACCTCGCTCACCAGATCTGACTCCGTTAGACTTCTTTTTGTGGGGTATGTGAAAGAAAGGGTTTTTAATCGTGAATGTGATAGTGCTGAAGAAATGCGCCAAAGGATCGTGGATGCTTTCGAGAAACTACGTACGGACTGTGTCGAAGACCACACGATGATGCCCCGCCTGCACCCAAATCTACCTTGAAATGAATGGAGCACAATTTGAGCCGCATCTCATAAGACCACGGAGGATTTAGAGCGGTAAGCTGTTTCATACCTATTTTTTTTAAATAACTTAGTACTAGACTAATCTGAATAGGTACATAACTGAATACATGAGAATAATAAACATACCTACACGATGAATAAAAACTCATGACTCCAACCTTGGTTACATTTCATTTAAGTATTTTTTCATTAGCGGGGAATCGAACCAGTTATTTGGGTTATTTAACCTGTAAATTCGGATTAAAGTGGCTAAGTGGAGACAAGCACAGTGGCAAAATAGTAGGTTAAGTAGATAAGTTAGGTATTTAGACAAGTGTTGTAAATTATTAGATATTGTGCTATGGCCCGCTAGTTGCGGGCCGCGCGAATTTGCGTTCGCGCGTACATTGACCTTTCAGTCAGGTGATATAAATTCAGTCATTCCACTGCTGGTTTTATGTTTCAGTATTTTCATGATATATTTTATGAAATTATCGTTTCATTTAGCTGTACTAACATGATGGCGCGCGAATAAAGCTAATAAAACGTTGTAAAAAGATGATTTTTTTTTCATCAGGATCGAATTTATTTGTGACCCATGATCAAAGGTGTACTTGGTGTTGTCGCCTGTCTTAGTTTTCGGGAGCGTTCCAAAAATACCCTGTATGTGTGTATATGTATGTATATGTATATTTTACAAATTGCAAACTAATTTTAATATACCTACGATTATATAAAATATAATAACGACTAAAGAGTCGCATTAAGTTATAGAATATGTTTCGTTATAAATAAATACATTCAAGTAGCTAAACAGTTACTTAAAAATGTTAAGCTTAGTTTTAGTTAATTGTAAATATTAAAATACTGTTGTCACAACACTGGGAGAGGCCGCTAATCCCTAAGATACAGACTTGTCTAGTTTAGGGATCAGAGTCTTCACTTTATTATTGTACTTTTATTTAAATAAATGATTATTATTATTATGGGGTATTTGTATAGTTTTCTCATCTGGTTGGGCTGTATAAATATATAATTGAAAATGAAAATGATAAACTTACATAAATATCAATAAAATAAAATAAATACATAAAATTTACATAAATATATAAAAACTCGACCAGATGGAAGCCCTCGGCAGGGGAGACCAAACGACCGAGGGTTAGGGGGAAAGGGAAAGAAACCGGCGGGCGATGCGGGCGGTATCGACGAGCACCGCCTTCTACATTTGAGCATGGAGCGATCCGTCACGGAGTCCCAGTCGCCTCAGATGATCCAAGAGGCTGACTGGGATTAACCCGTTCGCAGAAACGACCACAGGAATAATTTCGGCCGGCAGACCACCCCACATGTCGGTCACCTCGTGAGCCAGGTCCAGATATTTTGTCAACTTATCTGTTTCGGCTTTCACGAGGTTCTCGTCATAAGGAATGGTAATGTCGACCAAAAATATCCTTAACTGTGCCCGGTCCATCAGCACAATATCAGGCTTATTCGCAAGAATAGTCCTGTCCGTGATGATGGCCCGGTCCCAGTAGAGCCTGACGCGGTCATTCAATCTGCGCGCACGCACTCAGCGTACGGACGTGTTGCTCACTATTATTTCTGTATTTCGTAGGTAGTACCAAGTAAAATGGTTCAGTGTAAAAAGTGCAAGTTATTTGTTTCTTTAACAAAAGATGATGTTATTAAGTGTAAAGGTTCATGTGACTCTGTGTATCACAAAAAATGCTTATCGAACATAAAGGAGTTCCAAAGAACTCAGCTGTGTGAATCATGTCACAAAAGTGAAATCAGCCCTAAAACGCAAGTACCTAAAATTAATGTAGATATCGAGAAAGCTAGTGCCGAAACGCTTCTAGCAGAGGTCAATAAAAAACTGGAAATAATTTATCAAACACAAAAGAAAATTGATGACCTAACAGAGGCCGTGGATTTCTACGCTGAACAGTACCAAATGATGCTTAACTTTAAGGAAGCCGCGGAGAAGAAAATGACTGCTTTGGAAAATAGAAATAAGTATTTACAAAAGTGCAATGACTCCTTAGAAGAGAGGATAATGTTTTTAGAACAAAGAAAATTGTTGAAATTGTTGCACAAAAATTAAATTTAAACATTGGTAATATAGAGAACGCAAATAGGGTAGGTCGAGAAAAGAAAGGAGAGGGTAGGCCGAGACCTATAGTCGTTACCCTACGAACCAAGCAAGCTAGAGATGAATGGCTAAAGCAAAGAAAAGTGTTAGTATATAATAAGGAAATTCTCGGCAACAGCAATGGCAAGCGGGTGTATATAAATGAAAATCTTCCTAAAAATACGCGACAATTGTTATGGAACGCGAAGAAAATGTTAAAAGACGTTTATAAACACATATGGCCACAAAACCTTAAGGTTTTGGCTAAAAAAGACGATAACTCGAAAATACGCTGGATCCGTTCGGATGCAGATATCAATAATATGTGTTTCAACACTGATAACAGCAGCGTATAGTAAATAAAACACAATAAATTAGTATTGTGGAAGCTCACTGTATGTGAATACCTAAAGACACAAAATGGATGATATTTTATCACACATCGAGGATAAATATGAGTATAAAAAATTTCTAGATGCAGGTACGTGGAGCACACACTTAAAAACAACCACGGAGAACCTAAAAATAATTCACCTAAATATTCGTTCTCTTAGGAAGAAGTTTAATGAATTGCTAATACTGCTTGAACGCACTAATTTTAGTATAGACATTATATTATTAAGTGAAATAAATATCAGACAAGCGGAGCTGCCGTTATATTGTATAGATGGGTATGATATGCACGGGTATACAAGAGAAAATCGACGAGGAGGAGGCTTATTAGTGTACTCTAAAAATGAATTGCGCCTGCAAACAGTAAACCCGCAAAGCTGTGGTTTGGAAATATTGCACAGTCAACTTAAGAGCTCTGACACCACCATACACATAATCACCGTATACAAACCGCCAAACACAAATAAGTTATGCTGTATTCAAGAATTATCTGTACTAATTAAGCAAATTCCCGAATACGAGGACGTCGTTATTGCAGGTGATATGAATATCAACTTATTAGAAAAAAATACAACCACCGATAAATACAAAAACGCAATGTATAGTTACGGAATGCAGAGCGTTATCAATGACTTTACTCGCGAGGAAATATTAGCCGGTAGACTCGTAACGTCGTGCATCGATCATGTATGGGTACGTACACGCAGCCGCCGATTCGCTTCACATATGTTTACGTGCAAGTTGTCGGATCACTATATGGTAGGTGTAAGTATTACCAAAGAATCAAAAGGGGTAAATAGAATAAGTCTTACTAGTGGCAAATATAAAATGTATACTTTGAATAATAAAGTAATAACTCGTGAGTTAGAGCAGGTTGATTGGAGTAAGCTCGTAGAGATAGACTGTCCTTTGATAATTTATGAACAATTGTGTAGTGTTTTTGCACCTATCTACGATAAAGCTAAAGTTAGTCTTAATTGTAATAGAAAAAACCGGGTAATACAGCCGTGGATCTCTAAAAAAATTAAAATATTGATAGATAGAAGAGATTATTTATTCCGTAGGTGGAAGACTAGTCCTCAAAATGTTACTTATAGATTAGAATATACGAAACACAGAAATCAAACAAATAAAATTATTAGCAAAGCTAAAAATAACTATAGAAGGCAGGAACTATCACGCTGTCAGGGAGACTTTAGGAAATTATGGGAAACAATAAATTGCTGGCTAGGAAATAGTAAAAATAGCTTAGATGACGTAGTAATTAAGTATCTAGGAAAAATCAATAGTATAAGTGATATATGTTCAAAATTCTCAGAAACATTTACAAAAGAAATTGATAAAATAAAACATCAATGTAATATTAAATTACTAAATCGCGAGACCTATGTAAAATCGAGTGATACCACTTTCTATTACAAAAAGGTAACCGAAAATGAAATAAAAAAAATAATTAGTCAACTAAATAGTAAAAAATCGCCAGGTTTAGATGGAATAAGGCCGCAAGATCTAATTTTAGTTAAAGAAAAAATAAGTCCAATATTAGCAAAATTTGTGAACCTTAGTTTTAAAACAGGCTTATACCCAGACAGTTTAAAAAAGTCTATTATCCGCCCTGTTTATAAGCAAGGAGACCATTGCAATTATTCAAACTATAGACCTATTGCAATATTGTCTGTTATTAATAAAATTGTGGAGAAAGTGATAGTTACTAGAATTAGTGAGTATCTAGAAAAAAACTGCATAATTACAGAAAAGCAGCACGGATTTAGAAAATTACGTAGTACATCGACGGCCTTATCAAATTTCACCGATGATATCAACGAATGCTTAGGTAGTAAGCAGTATGTATTTCTTTTATTCATAGATTTTAAAAAAGCGTTTGATACGCTGGACCATGAGCAGCTGTTGGTAGCTATGGAAGAGTGCGGAATCCGCGGTCCAATCAGTTCATGGTTTCGTAACTATTTACACAACAGAATGTTGTGCACAAAGATAAAAGAAACCATTTGTCATGGTAAATTAGTTAGTACTGGAGTTCCTACTGGCTCTGTGTTTGGCCCTGTGGGCTATATCATGCATGTAAATAGCATGGTAAACGTTGTGAAAAACTGCAGAGCATACATGTATGCTGACGACACATGCATGATGTATGCTGACAGGAATATGAAGGTGATTGAGAACAAAGTACAATCGGATTTTGATAATGTAATCAAATGGTCCCACGATAATGGAATAATTTTAAATATAGAGAAAACGAAATGTATGCTCATACAATCGCCATACCTGCATAAACCATGTATACCTACAAGTATAAATATCATAGGCCATTCGTATGATTGCTTGCATAGAAATAAACAATGCATTGGTTGTAATTCGATTGAGCTTGTTGAGAATTACAAATATCTAGGATTAACCATAGATACTAAGTTTAGTTGGAATTTCCATATAGAACGAGTATATAATAAATTAAGATCGTTATTATGTAAGTTTGTACACCTTAAAAGAGTAGTTGATAAAACAACATTACGCATTCTGTACTATGCTCTCGTGGATTCTGTAATTAATTATGGCCTTTCAGCATATGGACGTACGTTCCGAACGTACATGGATAGGATACATAACCTTCAACTAAGATTTATTAAACTGTTAGTTAGTAAGCAAGCTAAAGAGAAAAGTAAGGGTAACTATAATCTATTGTTTAAGAAATGCAATATTCTACCAGTACGTGAAAAAACAAAGTATTTATTAGCAATTGAAGGATACAAAAGTAAATTTTTAGTTAGGAAATCAATTTATGGTAATTTAAGAAAGAATACACGTAAATTGTTTGAGGAACCAAGTGCGCAAAACTACTTTGGTGAAAGGACGCGTAGGTATTTAGTGCCAAGAATATTTAATGAAAACGTGCCACAAGAGGCCTGTAAGACAAAACAAATTTTTAAAAACAAATTGAAATATTGGCTACTGAATGCCATCGGCGACCTGTAGTATTAGAGTAGTAATATTTAGTTTATTATTAATTATTAATCTTAATTATTTTTTATTAATCTTTATTCATTATTAATTTAATTTAAGATATTCGTTTTCTGTCTTTTATAGCTTTGTTATTAATTTAGTGATAAGTGTACTTTACCTACTTAGTCTTTAATTTTTTTTTAATTACTTTATAAGTTTACTATATGTTTTGTTTTAAAATTTATTTTAGAGAAATATTAAAATGCAATTGTAAACCTTAATGAGTGCAGTTTCGCCAATAAACTGTATTCTCAGTTTGGCGAACTTAATGTTTTTTGAACCAATTGTATTTACTATGATAATAAATAAATTAAAAAAAAAAAATTTCGAGCACGGCTTCCGGCAAGTAATTATAATATGACAGTTTCCGATCCACGAGACCGTATTTCATAGCGAGCTTCTGGTGTAGAATCCTGGCTACTAGGTTGTGTCTGTGCAAATACTCAGAGTTAGAAAGCGCCGAACAACCGTAGATGACATGTCTAAGTGACTCACCGGGATGGCGACAAGCTCGACAGATGTCGACGGCGCCATCCTTTAGGATGTATTTCCGATAATTGTTGGTCTTAATAACCTGATCCTGTATCGCACAGACAAAACCCTCGGTTTCCCCAAAGAGGTCACCGAAACTTAGCCAGTGGAGGGAGGCGACTGTGTCTACGCAAGGCTCATGTAGAGCCTTGTAGAACCTCCCGTGGAGCTCCTTCTCCTTCCATACGGTCTCCCGGTCGGAAATGCTCTGTACTGCCGTGTCTTGCCATTGCTCGTTGGCTAAGGATAGAAGGGTAAGTCCTTTATCACAAGAAATAACGTCCCTATAGAATGGATCATCCGCTCTCGTCACAAAGTAATTACGGAGGCTGCACAACTAGCGATTATGTATGGTAAGTGCGCTTAAAAAGCCGCGCCCACCATGCTTCCGCGGCAAGTACAGCCTCATTACTGACGATCTCGGATGATGCATCCTGTGGGACGTCATTATAGTGCGGACTTTTCTGTCCAGAGCGTTCAGTTCGGTCTGAGTCCACCTGAGCATGCCAAAGGTATACATGAGAACAGGCATGATCCAACCGTTATATGCATGTGCCTTATTAACGCCCGACAAAAGACTGTTAAGCACTTTTGTCAAGCGTGCATAAAACACACCGCAAACTGACTGTTTCATGTCCGCCTCATATCGATGAGGCGGACATGAAACAGTCAGTTACCTGGGTATGTCACAGAACATAGGTATCGACCTATGTTCTGTGACATACCCAGGTATCGGTATGTTTCAGCTTCGGATAGGGTCTTTATGTTGATGGGCATAGATAAGTCTATGCCCTCAGAGTTAGCAACCCTACCCCTTTCGACATGGAAGACCGCACACTTATCTGTCCCCAGCTCCATTCTAATAGAATTACTAAAACCACAAGTGATGTTTAGCAATTCCATAAGATGAGAGCGACTGGAGACGAATAACTTGAGATCATCCATATAGAAAAGATGGGTCACTTTTGTACCTCCTCTCCGAAGCTGAAATCCCCTCTCGGAACCCTCCAGTAAGGTACTAAGAGGGTTCA